GAGAGAGAGAGAGAGAGAGAGAGTGAGAGAGAGAGAAAGAAAGAAAGAGAAAGAGAGAGGGGGGGGAGATACTACAACTTTGTTTACAAAGAAAATTTTAACAATGTACTATTGTTGCATTACAATGTAACAACTATGTACAAAATGTTTAATTTTGATATAAAATGTAACATTGAGCGCAAATTAGGCAGATAGGTCCCTAACCTCTTCATGCCAAACGTGAGCACTACCACTCTGGGTGTAAACATGATCTCTCCACACTGAACATGAGTTTGACCTCGTCGAGGGCCATGCATTTTTCATAATTAACTTTGAAAATAAGGATAATTTAGTAAAGGAGAAGCTTGTAAAGAGTGATTAGTGTTAGAATTGAAAGAAAATAATAAGAAAGTTATCAATTGTGATAAACACTTATGTAAAAAGAAAAATATGAGGAAGAACTATAGGTGTGTGAAATCAAGTATAAGTTGTAATGTAATGTGAATGAATTGTAATGATGTTATGATATTGATGTGGTAAGGATGGACGTGTGATGTTGATTATAACATGGTATATGAGATGATGTACAATGAGGAGATATGATGATGTTGTTGAGCATGTAAGTTTAAATTGTGACTAACTATGATGAAACCCAAGTAAGGCTTGGTGTGTTGTGGAATGGTCCAAGGTTGCGCTTTTGCAAGAATCACCATATAGTTTTTGCATTTGTTATGGTGTTGATGTTGTTTGATTGAGTCCATGAATTCATGATTTTATTACGAGGTAGTGTGATTTTATGTAGGAGGGTCTTAAAGGTCATCTACCAAGACCTTGGGAGTGTTTTGGTAGGGAGCCTCTAATGTGGGTGTGAGGTAACTATGGCCGACTATAATGCTTTGATTAGATCTTGATAGACATTCCCTTGTTAAGAGTGGATTGGGGGCTTACCTAGTGTGTGGTGATTTCATTCCATGGCTTTTAGGTTGCCTGTTGAGTAGATGAGGAGGAGGAGATTGGTGTTAGATGCATATAAGTCAAGTACATGCATTTGCATGAGTCTTATTTTATGATTGAGATAAATGGTTGTCATTGATGATGGATGAGAATGTAAAGGGATTGTTGTACTAAATTAGGTATTGTATTACATGACAAAGATGGAAATAAGTGTGTGTGGTGCGTGTGTGTGTGTATCTCTCTCTCTCTATGTTGTTGTTGTGTGTGTGTGGGCTACTCACCACTTGTAGGATTAGATAAGGTACATGAAGAGGAATTTGATGGAGAGTTCCCTCATTATTTTGGATTTTTCTATGATAGTGTGATATTTGGGCAAATAATTTATGTTTTTGCATTTGTAATTAGAGTTAGCTTTATTTTATGGTGTTATTGGCTTTCTGTTGAGTTTATGTGAGTAGGTAATTTGTGTCTCCTTTTTAACTATGTTGAGTTTTATTTATGTTTTGACTAAAGTTTTTTTTTTTTAAGTTTTGTGAATAGATGAGATGTATTCTCTCTCTCTCTCTCTCTCTCTCTCTTTATATATATATATATGTTGTGTGTGTGTGGGCTACTCACCACTTGTAGGATTAGATAAGGGACATGAAGAGGAATTTGATGGAGAGTTCCCTCTCTTATTTTGGATTTTGCTATGAGAGTGTGATATTTGGGCAAATAATTTATGTTTTTGCATTTGTAGTTAGAGTTAGCTATATTTTATGGTTTTATTGGCTTTCTGTTGAATTTATGTGATTAGGTAATTTGTGCCTCTTTTTGAACTATGTTATGTTTTGACTAAAGTTTTTTTTTTTAAGTTATGTGAACCCTTTTAACTATAAGTTAAAGTTAAAGTATTTTATAATGCTTTTAATTTTAATTACTTTTATTTATAATTTTTTTCATTATTCTTTGAGGTAAAAGGGTGTCACATAAAATATTAAATTTATTTTTAAAAATATACAAGTTATTTTTTCATTTTCTCAAAAGACTAGATCTCAACAAACACTCGCCACTTAAATTTAAGATTCACACAAGAAACAAGTCCTAAGAATATGCAAGCATCATATAGATATTGTAATACAATTAGAATATCAACATTTTGCCTTACAACCCATATACATAACATAGTCAAATATGTGAAAAAAAAAGTGAGTAGAAATGTATGTCAACATCAGTACGTAAATACAATATGAAAAAAAAGGAGGAAGGGGGAAAGGGAGTGTCTACTACATAAACTATTTAGTTGGCCATTCAACTATACTTTACTCTTAAGGACGTAAATAAGATTCTAGTATGAACATACCGTGATATTTATGTGATTTTTGTGTATGTGATTAATAAAACTGAGTTTCAATTGTTGGATTAGAAAGTAGATATTCGGGGCTATAGTTTAGACTTAAGAATCACATAAAAATGTTAAATAATGATCGAGTTATGTGAGTTAAAAGATGAACCTCATATTTTGTGTACAAAATGTAACATGTGTACGTTATAAGCCTTTCAAGTATACTTAAATGGACAAATTAGGTTTTGTAATCTTCATGAAATTTGTATCCCTAGATGTTAACTTTCAAATTCCATTCAAATAACTTAAAAAGGAGGTTAAGGAGGTTTAGAACTTGAGTTATGCTTAAATTAGTGAGAAAATGCCAAGTTGTTAAATTTAGGCTGAAATGATGCATTTTTTGTAATTTTTAAAAATAGTAAATGGAAAAAATAGTTCTTGAGGTCAACATATAAGTTGTATATAATTGTGTTATCTTTCTAAAAAAAATTAAGATAAACTTGATATCATATGTATAGCTTTTGATAAGATGTTTGGACAACACGATGTCTTAGAAGATTAAATATAGAAATGTAGTTTGTGAGTAATGATAATGAATAACTTTACTCTTTAAGTATTTGATCTTATGAATGATTTGAGATACTTATATCAATATTTAGGAAATAGAAATTATGAAGGAGAACAATTGTGAATAAGTTATAACATGAGTTGATTGTTAATGACTTGAGGTGTATCAAGTTAAATTGTGTAAATGTGTGTTTGAACTGTGAACATGTGACTCTTGTGTGATACAATGTGTTGTGTGTGTGTTGGTTATCTTGTCCAAGGAATAAGTCTTGTTCTAATTGATGGATATGATTGAATATGAAATTGTGAAGTTCTGAGAATTGGATGTTATAAATGAAATGTGTATGGAAAATCGTGAAATGATAAATTGTTTGAGCATGTACATTGATATCTTGATAAAGTGAATGAGGTGTTGTATTATTATATTGATGAGACTATTGTGACAAGTAAATTGACATACATTGGTGATGCGTATTGTTATAATATGATAATATGATAATGCATTGAGTCTTGTTTGACATGCATCATACGCATAATTGAGAATTCGCCTTCAAGCAATAGTGATAGTGCCTTTGGGCAACAGTTGACAATGCCTTCGAGTTGTGACCTTCGCATAGTGACCCTTTGGGAAATAGTTAACAATTGACAATTGATTTTGACTGGTGCCACAAGCATGATTAATTGTAGTTGTGTCCATTGTATAGTGCATGTAAATGAATTCATTTATTAGCTTGTGATGGTTATGAGAACTAATGTTGCGTTATCAATTGGATTATACCATGTTGTATTCAGGATTATTGCATCATTGTTCTATAGTTACCATATTTATATTTAATTTATTATTGTTTGCATTTGGCTATTGACTATATTCGATGTCGTGAGCTAGAGTGAGATGTATCTCACTCCCTTTGTTTATGTTTGTCCCTATTGTATGTTCTTGTATATGGTTTACATCATGAGGTTAAGGATGTTGCCAATAAGGCCTAGTCCTTGTAGTTGGGTTTACACTCTGTGAAGTGACATCAAGGCTTAGTTAGAATTTGTATGTCTTTTAGTTATGTTTTTGGACAATTGTTATTTTATTGTATTAGATTTCATTTGGATATTAATTGATTTTGTTTTGTTAAAATGAGGTGCTCCCTATGTTGAACACAATGGATTTTTATTATGATAAACTTCTTAATTCAGTTTTATTTATTTCATGTATTATGGTATGTAGGGTAGAGGGTGTCACTGGGAGGAGGTCATATGCATGATGAACATTGCTCAATTGAAA